ACTCACTCAGCACTTAGAGGGATTTCAATTCTACTTCTCTGGATGCAGATTTTGTCTTCATGGAGTTTGATGGTTTCAGCTTTTCAGTGAAAAAGGCTGCCTTCTCCTGCTGGTGGATATTAAGTTGATTGATGAGTGGAAGCTGGAGTGAACCAACAGAATAGAGTTAAGAGATTTAAAACTAGAACAATGAGCCATTAAAAAAGTAAAAAAAAATCTCCAAGAGGCTCAACGGTCCAAAAGAAAAAAAGAAAAAAGGTAAAAATTCTTTGAGGATTACCATTTAAGAAAAAAAAGAGGTTGGTACCTCAGTTTACATGTATTATACATCTTTAGACAAAGGTTTAACAAGTTAGTGCAGCCATGCAACACTTTAACAATCTTTAATTGGCATAAGGAGAGAAACTCTGTGAACGGGTTCTTTCTGTTCATACATAAAATAATGCTAATCAGGCCCAGATCTCAACACATTAATAATGTATGATCTCTCTGCATCTTTAAAAACATTCTCCTCCACCAAAACACCAAAAAGTGAGTATCTGCCAGAAGATTTGTGTTCATCCCATAATATGAGCTCCAGAGACGAGTCTGGGTTTTCGTACTTTTTGCACTTTACATATTGTAGCTTGCAGCTCTCATCACATGTCACTGCGGGTTACGGTTGCCACTGAACTGAAATATAAGTATATGTTTTGAGGAGTTCATTACAGGGATCTGAACGCAAAGATGGGGCTTCTCTCGCCTCAGGCGACTCTCTATCAACAGCTGGAATTCCAGCGAGCTGTAGAGGAAGGAGAAGTGCAGGAAACTGGAGATGCCCTGGAAGTGTGAGAAGTGTATGCAAAACGGCCAGGTCTTTGTGACGACCTTAGGAATGTTCCGGCTTCGACAGTCTTTAAAGGCTCTTTGATGTCCAAGGTTGTTTTTCCTTCTCGCCACTCTGGTGACAGAGAATGAGCCTGAGAATGACTCACATTTTATATACACATGAACATCCTCTGTGCTTTAGCACATGCACATGAAAACTTTAATGACTCATTTGTTAAATCCATTAAATAATATAAACTGTGGTTACTGTGTTTAATATTTTCCATTTAACATTCATTAGTAATGTTGTTGTGCTGTTGCTTGGGGTCCACCGCATTAGGTGCCCTTCCAAACCAACTATAGTGGAGGTGGGTTTAAAGTCCAATAAGGAGTATGCACTAATAACCACGATCCGAGAAGATGCAGCACCTGTTTTGTGTCTGGTTTAGAGAAAAGTCCATGCACGTGGAAAAATTAATTAATTCAGGATGGTTAAACTAAATGCAGATATTAAAGAAGCACAAGATCAGATTTTGCATGGTTGGATCTTAACACGGTTCCAAGTAGACCTTCAACATGCAACAAGAACAAATGGGAGTGAGAAGAACATTTTTTTGAGCATGCAATTTATTGAAAACAACCCTTAAACTGAAACAGGGTGTTTTACAGTTGTTCAAAAATTTAGGGCCACACCTCCAAAACCCCCTGTAAACCCCCCAAAACAGAAACCAAAGTTCCAAACATCAACTCAGTAACTCCACCATTATTGTTGATCACTTCAAAATTTGCTGCAGCATGCTTGATGCGAGCGTTTCTATGAGGTGACTGGGAACATTTCTCCAAGTGGTGAAGACGGCCGCACGAAGGGCTTCTACTGTCTGGAGCTGTTGTCCATTTTTCTAAACTTCCCTTGCCATCCATCCCCAAAGGTTCTCAGTTGGATTTAGATCAGGGGAACACACAGGATGGTCCAAAAGTTTGATGTTATTCTCCTGGAAGAAGTCCCTTGTCCTGCGGGCAGTGTGTACTGTAGCGTTGTCTTGCTGAAAAATGCAGTCATTACCACACAGGTGATGGCCCTCAGTCATGGGGGATGCTCTCTGCAACATCTGGGCATAGCCAGTGGTTGTTTGACACACCTGCTCCATTGTTCCACTGAAAGAAAAAGCACCCCAGACCATCACGGCGCCCCCTCCACTGTGGCACATCTCAGGTGGGATCTGCTTGTCATGCCAGTAATGGTGGAAAGCATCAGGACCATCAAGGTTAATTTTTTTCTCATCAGAGAATAAAACTTTTTGCCACCTTTCAATGTCCCATGTTTGCTGCTCTCTTGCAAACTCCAAGCAGTCAGTTCTGTGGCGTTCAAGGAAGCGAGGCCTTTGAAGACATTTTTTGTTTTTAAGCCCTTCAGTCTCAGATGTCGTCTGATGGCTATGGGGCTGCAGTCGGCACCAGTAACAGCCTTAATTTGGGTCAAGGATCGTCCAGTGTCTTGACAGACAGCTAATTGGATCCTCCGGCTCACTGCTGGTGAAATTCTTTGGGTCTTCTGCTTGACTTTTTAGTTCTGTAACCCTCAGGATCATTAAAGAAATTCCAAATGACTGTCTTACTGCGTCCCACCTCAGCAGTGATGGTGCGCAGCGATGGTACCCTGCTTATGCAGTTCAACTACCCAACCGTGTTCAAAAAGGGAAAGATTATTTGCCTTTACCATCAGAACGTCATGACAGTGTGACTACCTGGCAGAAAGTGACAATGAATCCACATTTTTGTACAGATTTGGCCTTTTAAAGACATGTGGTCTTAAATTTCGATCAGCTGTAAAACAGCCTGTTTCAGGTTAAGTGTTGTTTTCAATAAATTGCATGCTCAAAATTTTTCTTTGTCTCATTCCAATTTCTTCTTGTTGCATGTTGAAGCTCTACTTCAAGCCTTTTTAAGATCTAACCATACAAAATATGATTTTTTGCCATTTTTCAAATGGTCTTAAACGTTTGATCGGGACTGTATTATAGACAGTAACTGTATTAGATGTACAAATGTTAAAACTGGACTGTGAAAAGGTGAAGTAAGTAGCCTGGCATTTTTCTTTCTTTCTCTTGTTTATCTGTGGGAAGGAAAGGCAGTAGGATGCACTATAGAAGACATCCTGCTGGGAATTTTTGGGTTCTGGCTTTCATGTGGCTATGACTTTACATACCAGCTACCTGAATGTTTTTTTTGATTGTGCACCATCCTGATGTGAAATTAGCCTCCTTCAGAATACTAGCACACTCTGATCCACTATAAATATTGGTCTTTTGAATGGTTTGAGAAACATTACACAAAAAAATGAAGGTGGCGACTTAACCTCCAAATTTCCCCGATATCAATCTGATGAAGCATCTTGGAAAACATGCTGGAAAAACATGTCTGATCCATGGAAGTCATACCTAGCATCTCAGAGGATTTAAAGGATCTGGTGGTTACTTTTTGTTGCTTCATATCAAAAGTCATCTTCTGAGGATTTGGAGTCCATGGCCTAACAAATCTGACCTATTACAAGGGCTGTGAGGTGGGGCCACAGGTGGTTTTAATGCTGAAGCTGTTCACTATAAAGGCCGGTGTTTCTGGTTAATCTTGTTAAGGTATGATTTCAAATGGATTTAAGAACAAAGCAAAGATGGAATGAAAATGGAGCAAAGTCAGGGAACATTTTTATGGTGTTTCAGGACAGAAGCCCAGCATGAACACTGCAGCACAAACAAACCCCCAAGCTAGGGATCCCAGTACATCTTAAATGGCTGTAACTCTATTACTGTTCTGTCCAAGAGACAAAATTCAAATTGAATGGCTTTGGAGAGAAGAGGACCTTCACAGATGCACAAAGCAATGTCTGAACACAGAAATCAAGACATAAAGATTTTACCAGCTACAGTATTCACATTACCTTAACTTTTCAACCATTTTGAGCTAAAGAGAAAATCCAAAGATAATAATCCAAAGATAATTTTTAAAATTTTTTACAGCCAGTAAAACAATACATCCAGGCAGCCTGTATGATACTTAGATGATGAAAGGTTAAATATAAAGAAATACCAATCTGCTGTCATTGATATCTACTCTGTTCTTTATTCCCTGCTGTCAGTTTTCTGTATATATCCATGGAAGAGCAGGGAAGCTCCAGAACAAAGCTGCACTGCATAATAATAACATACTTTTAATGAATGCTAATTATTCCAAAGTCTCTCCAAGAAGAACATGGGATTCCACCAGCTCACCAGAGTTGGCTCACTGAAGGAAACACGAGCTTCTTCTGCACTAAGCGGCTTCACCGGAGGGCGTCACTGATGCATGTGGTCGCAGGCAGACTTCACGGACTTCAATTACCAATCAAGTTTCTCTGAAAACAGTATTAGTAATATCTACTCTCAAATGTTATTTTTTTTCCTGACATCTTTGAATGACTTATGTTCAAGAAAGACTCACAGAACAACACAGATTTGACATATTCATTGTTTTATTCAAGTACAAAAATATTAGCAGCTCCGTGTTCATGTTTCAGTCATAAAAAGCTTCATCCAGTGGTAAAGGCAGCGAATTTGACACCCAGCTTTTTTGGCATACGCGCTGCAGTTCACATTTCCACAGTAATAATTCAAAGCGATGTGGCCTGTTATTGCATATCTGTGACAACCGCAGCAAAATAACTCTTAAAGCGATTAAAAACCAGAACTGAACTGATCCGACAACAAGAATCATCTGCAGCCAAAGCGCCACATATCTTAATCATCAGTGCGACAGAGCGACACTGTTTGTCTGGGGAACACAAACTCTGAAAAATAAAAAATAAGCCAACTGATGACATGGTTCTTTTTTACTATGGTGAACCACAACAGTTTTTTTTTTATATACACATGCACACACAGATAAACAGGCCAACAACAGAGAAAAAAGTCTCTTTTTCAGTCTGCTTCTTGATGATCTATACACTTACACATTTAACCTTACAGTAATTGATTCAAGGTTACAAAGAAAAGTCTCAGACGATCTCATCCCAGGAGTGTTCATGAGTCACAGCGTGGTTTCCGGTTGTGCTGATTCCTTCATGCCTGCAGAAGCTGTCCCACCAGGGCAGGGCTCCTCTCCCGAATTAAGGCTGACGCGATCTCGGCGACCCGCGACGCTGACCTCTCCCAGTGCTTGGTGCCAGAGAGACAACAGGAGGAGAAAAACAAAAGACAGTGAGGTCATTTTTTAAAGAACATTCAATTAAAACAAGACAACAACACACTGCTAGTGTGAATAAAGTCCCAACATAACAGTTCGAATAACCATTTGTTCACTTTTATGTCTCTTCTCAGGAGACATGAGTGTGTTTAAGTCATCACAGGGTTTGTAACCTCAAAACTTCAGCCAGAAGCATCCAGTGAGCATTAGCAGCCAATTCAAAACAGTTGGAAACAATGTTCAAGCACACCCATGTTGTTCCACTTGCAGTAAGGACAAAAGAAAGAAACAGATCTGTTAGTTGGATTTGTAACATCAATGGCTTGGCTGTGCTCTGCTCTACATAGACACGAGTGACAAATTCGATGTTTAAAATTTACACGCACGCTTTCCACAAGAATTCCCCTAACGAGAGAAAAATCTAAACACGGCATGAAGTGCGTGGTATTCTGAATTCACCACTTTAATTTGATATTAACAATCGCAAATTCTGGTGGTGGATTTTGTCGACTAGCGTGTCAGTTTCACAGCTTGTTCAATCAACAGCCGAAAGCAATTTTCAAAAAAGGGCGAAAAGATCAGAACGGAACAGAAGTAAACCAGTTTCTTTTTTCAGAAATGTGGTTAAAATTCAAGCTCCCTTAATGTGAACCGATAAGATCTCCTTTGATATTTATGGTGCATGATATTGGACAGATCTGCAGTAAACCACACGTTCAGACAAAAGGAGACCAGTTTGGCCCTTTAAGGCGGGCTCCACTGTTGTGGTTGTTTTGCTTTCGTGATTCCTCTCGTCTGTATCTGTTTCTTTTTTCTATGCAGACCGCCTGCGCAATGCACTTTAAATGGTTCTCACTCCCCTGATTTCATTCCTTATAGGCTGCATTGACTCCCTACTTTGATTTAGTTTCTTGATGACGTCAGTGAGTGACCTGTTTTCCATTTTTTCAAAGGGAATGGAGTTCAAGGAGCTTCGCTTTTTTAAAACCATGGCTTGTTTCCTTACACAGATTTATGCTTCATGCTCAACCTGCCCTTTTTCATATAGAAACTGTGGACTTCATTATGGCTTTTGATGTAGCATTAAGCATTAAAGACAAATGTGCAACAACACGCAGCAAAGAGTATACTCAGAACACAAAACAGCACACAGAGAGAGAAAAAGAAAAGCAAAGGTCTGGAAAAGATTAAGTTTTTGTAATGCAGTAAAATGTTTTCTACTCAAACACCAAAAAACATTCATGTTTTTTGTTTGCTACAGCACCTGCAGCTTATGGCTAAAAACCACCTCCTTCATATTGCGCAGCTCGCCCTCGTGCTGACAAATCAGCACTGAACTGTTGAGGCTGGGGGTGGAGGCACACGTCAAGACCCCAAAGGATCCAGTGTTTCCCAGCAGATAATTAGACTGTAATGAGATCTTTCAGCTCCTCACTTTAGGGACTGCCACTGCCTTAGTTTCACAAACATTATCTCAAGCGTCACCTCCTGTCACACTAATGCTTTGCATTAATCTTCTCTGTTGTCTTCCTCTTTTCTTTGCATGAAGCTTTTTGGAATTTTTTAACTATTGCCACCATCTATAAACCATGCATCATCCTCTACCTTGACTACCTCTTCTCCTTGCATCTTCACCTTTCCAACTGTACTTTGTCTTGCTTCTACTTTTGTTCCTCTTCTCTCCATTGCATACCTTCAACCCCTCCATGTTCTCTCCCACCTGCTCAGATCACAATGTTGTCTATGAACATCATAGTCCACAGAAACTCCTACCTGTCCTCAACTGTTCACCTGTCCATCACCATCGCAAAGGAGCTCAGAGCAGATCCCTGATCGAATCCTACTCCCACTTTAAACCCATCTGTCACTCCTACTGCACACTTCACCACTGTCTTACTGTGACTTCCTTGTGCAGTATCACAGTTCCTCACTTGGCACCCTATTATCTGTGCAATTGATTCTGACCATCTCTATACCTCTCAAATACATATCAGATCCATCTATCACTGCTTATCTGGGTTTAGGGGCAGCAGTCTAAGCAGAGACATCCAGACCTTCCGCTTTCCGGCCACCTCCTCCAGCACATTTAGGGGGACACAAAGGCACTTCTGAGCCAGCTGAAAGCATATCCTGGGGGTGTCTCAGGTCCTCTTCCTGGAAAGGACACGACTGGAACATCTCAAATACTAGGAGGTGCCCAGGAAGCTCTGAGTCCCAAATGGCCAGCTCCTCATCCCATCTCTGAGCCCAGACACCCATAGGAGGAGGCTAATTTCCAATGCTTGTATCCACAATCGTATTCTTTCTGACACTACCGCGAGGTGAGTGTAGGAGCAGAGCTCAACCAATGAATCGACTGTTTTGCGTTCGTGCTCAGGTCTTTCTTCACCGCTACAGAGTCCACATCATTGCTGACACTGCACCAATCCATCAGTCGATCTCCTGCTTCACTTTCCTCTCACTCATGAACAAGACCCGGTGATACTTAAACTCCTCCAGCTGTGGCAGTAAATTTGTTTTTGGCCTGAAGTGGGCACATCGAACTCACAGAGATTGCAATAAGAAGACATTGTGAGATATTGCCTGGATGTTCCCAAGAAAATATCAGAGACTATACTGGGTCCAGATGTTCTTCTTAATCCTGGTACTCAACTCATGCATAGTGCAGAGGGAATTTTCTGCCTTGGCAGAGGTATGCAACCCTTGTTATAATAAGTAATCACTAGCTCAGCCCTTCAACCTTTAGTTACTGTCTGTAAAGCTTTCCAAAACATTGCACATATTTGCAATGTTTGCGGTGGAAGACATACCACCAAAAGCTATATAATCCACTCAACATATTGTCACTTAGAAACCCACCATGCTTTGTTCAGGAAGTCTTTATCATTATTCCCACTTTCGCTTGTCTTGTTTAAGATCCAAAAACAAACCTATCAAAGTGCAATACTGTCAGACAAAAAGAATGGTCAAACCTACAATGCAGAATCCAGGTTTTAGTAATGGCAAATTATCCCTTACAACAGATTTGAATCAGACTTGCAGTATTTCAGCAAAATAACACCAACCAGGCTGACAGCTATTCTCCTGGGTCTGCAGCCGCTTTCATCAGCCAACTCTCAAAATGAAGGGTTTCTTAGAAAGGAATAAAAACATTTAGGGGGGCTTTTCACAAAGCTTTTAATTTTCTAACACCCACATAGAGGAAAATAAAAATATATTAAAAATATATCCTGCTAAAATGACAAATCATCTGTGATTTGTGATCTGGAACATCCTGTTTAGCACATATTTGGACCTGGCTTCTAAATACATTTAGTATTACAGATTGGTGTCGGCAGTTTAACGCATCTGGAGCAGAAAATAAGCTTTCTGTCACTCTGTCCTTTCTTGACCTTACAGCCTAGCTCCACTAGCCAGCTTGTGCAGGGCCTGGATGGGAGTGCAACGAGGTGTGAGAGCGATGAGCGTGGAATTGGGCCTGACCGTGGTTAAAGGGAGCAAGAAAACCTGGGATCCAGAGCTCCTAGAGCACTCCTCAATAATCAGAACCAGCAGGAGGAGGAATCAGATGACATTGATTTTCCACACCAAGAAACTGAAGGGGGAACTGAGGTATTGGAGTACAGATCACCAATTGTAGCTTCATTGATTAAAGTAACATAGGTGAAATGGAAGAAAATAAATAAATAATATATGGAATTAAAATATGATGAATGGGCTCCAGAGCCATTCTGTCATATGCCACCGCTTCTTAGTATGCCTTTTGATTTTTCTGAGGAATAAGATCAAGCGTGCCATTTTTCTTTATCGTGTACCCAAGCCATTCTTCTGTGGTTTAATCAATGGTACAATGAAACGAGGAGATTGGGCAGTACATCTGTAAGCAGTCAACAGAATGTGGCTGATAGCACAAAGTTACTCATATAGACTAAGGAATATGCACTGGTTCATCAATGCGAGAAACTGAAAGTTTTGGTAAATGTGATTGCGTCTTTTCATTGTTTATTAGATGAAAGCATTCCTTCAGTTGTTATCTAAAACCAATTACATGTTCACACGGAAGGTTTTTGAAATGCTACATGTGTTTGGATGATCTGAAATACTGTGGGGATGATAAATGTGATGAGCACGATTATCAGCTGATTACCACCCAAGTGTACGGGACGAGGACCCTGGGAAAGTAGCAAGAATGCCGGGTGTCTCTTTGCAAATGGAAGACAGCTACGGCTATTAAACCACAACTAATCGCTCAATTATAGAAGTCTGTCTTCTAATAGACAAGCAAAAAAAACCCCAAACATTTTAATTTGAACATAAAAACACACAGAAAAAAATCAAGTCAAGATCACCAAGGAGGATCAAAGTTTTAAGCCTGCCTAAGACCCAGTGCTGAATTATTTCCACTCCAGATATGCAGCCTTTGAAATATGAATCACGCTTCATAAAACATCATTATTAAATCCAGTAGTTTTCTTGCACAGTGGAACACAAATACGACTTTAGCTCTTCATTGACTCGTGGCACAGCTTTAAGTAGTCACAACTGCCACTCAGGCTTCAAATGCGGTTGAGGAAAAGGCACAAGAAAAAGGGTAGAATTACTTACTACAACAACAAACTCCAAGCCCTCAGAGACATTTGCATATTAAACTGCTTTCAGGCTGAAATCTATATGACTTAAGTGTGAGGAACTTGCAAACTGATGGAAGAGCCGCAGTTTACTCCAGCAAGTAGATTTTCTTGACATACAAGAGCTGGTATGTCTGTTTAGCTGCCGCTGGCGGGGGTGCCACAGCTCGTGTCTCCTCTTTCCACTGTGGACCATACAGGATGAATAAAGCAGCTCACTGGCTCATTGTTATGGGCACGCAAACATCCATGAGAGGGATTACATGTGTTGGGACAGATGCCTACAGAAGAGTGAACACATGCGCAGACTGCATAGACACTTTAGTGTGCATGAGCCTATGCATGCGCCCACATACACACACACTAGGAGGTGGAATGTGATCCTGGAGGATTTGCATGTCTCCAGATCTTCATCATCATCAGAACCCATGTCCTCCAGCGTTGTCTGAGATGGTTTTCCACTGTTTCAGACCCGGCCTCTCTTCCAGCCGTATGTAGATGAATAAACCAGTTAACTCGAAGCTGAATTTTTCTCACTGTGGCAGAGCTGAGATAAACAGACTGGGAGTGGGCATTTGGACTGACATGAGATGAAACCTCAAGCCAAAGCATAACTGAGCCCCCGTGAGACGAAACCCACAAGCAAATTAGTTTGATTGATGGTCCTTTATGAGCTAATAGGCACTCCTCACCTGTTTACAATGTGGAATTAATCTTCAGATGTTCCAAAGGCAGAAAATCCACATGTGCCAAAGTCTAAGTGCAGACAGCAGGAGGGTATTTTATTTTATTTTAAAAGGGCTGGATTTTACGAGATTCACTTTATTATTATTAGTCGTGAGGGAACCTCACTTTCCACTTCATAATGATTAACTGCCACAAATCCTCACTTAAAGCCAAAAGTATCATCATTTATTCACATTAGTGGAAGGACAATCGCTAGTGTATGTCATATTAAATAGGAAAGCAACACATTTACATTTTGAAACACTTTTTCCCCCCAATACTGTCTGCTACATCCATTAGTGACACGTCCAATCTCTCGGTGGCCAAAATGGCATTTATGTAGTTTTTCTTCACAGATTTTATATTTTAGAACAGAGAGAAAACAATATATGAACTGGTATCAAGGGGAAAATACCACTGGATACAAACCACAGCTGGAGAGAGTTGTGGAGAGCTTAAGGGTTTTCTTTTAATTTTTAGGCTTGTGCTACAAAAACGCGGATTTCAGCTGCGGCAAGCAGGCCCATTAGAAAATTAAGTTACAGCTTTGTTTTGACACATAAACAATGCGATCTACTGTATAATCCTATGACGGTGCAGTAACTAAAGGGAAAATGTTCCCAATCATTCCCATGTGTACAAATGCAACACATGCGACAGGCCTGTTATTCCACACGGCAACCGCAAGTTTACAGAATGGAACTTCAATCATTAGCTTCTATTTTTGCTTACTGTTTGAAGGAAAGATTTTGACAAGTCGTGAGGTGACAGGTCTTTGAAATACATGGGGAAGAATGGGGGAGGAGAGCATCAGTGGACCACACAATAAGCGATCCTCAAACTCTCTACTTCTAAATGCCACTGATGCAATCAACCTTTCCATCTTAAAGAGCACGCAGCTTCACTTCTGCCACACAAGAAGGGCCAGCTTTGATGCAGAAAGGTTTCAGGCAATTAGGGCTTTTAGCTGTGATAATTTGCACATCTCTGTCATTCTCATGAGAACCTGGGCCCTCTGGTCCACTCATATTCCCTTTATAAAATGCCAAGAACCAGGTCCTAATATAAAAACAGCTTATGGAAAGGCTTGGCACTGACCCCAAGCTAAGAGAACTGGAAAGAGTTGTTAGAGTCACACTAGCTACCATAGCTAAAGTGGCCAAGAACATCAGGAGAGTTTTTATCACCTCTTTTCATCATCCTAATATTTTACTGTCTCTGCATTTTTCTCTGTGACATAAAAGTGCTGTAGTACAAACGGCTGTAGGATCCACTTGAGGGCAGTATCATTACTGGCATTGTGGCCAGACAGCGTTCTCCACTCTGGGAGTCTTAAAAGTCAAAACCATCACCTAATGTGAGCCTCGGTGAGCAATGCTCTTTAATAGAAGTCATTTCTCAGGAAAACTCTCCCCAAACGACCTGCCTTACTGAATCCCAGTGATATAATACTGCTAAAAACACCCAGTGCTTTTAACACAGAGAGGATAGTGTTTCAGGGCTTCTGACAGCTCGTCCCTGAGTGGGTATTGTGGTCCTCTTGCTCTCCCTCCTCTCCGTGTATCATTGAAGACAGGCAGTAGCTAGGGGCTAAACTGAGAAAGGAGAGGGGGATAACAGGTTCAATTACTGGTCAGTCTGATTAGAGCCCTGAATGTTACACCACCAATGTCCTGTAGAGATTCATTGATGTAATCAGGAGCTGTGGCAGAATGACTAACTCCCTCTACTGAAAGCAGCACCAAGCAATACACCAGTACAATACATTTTATCTTATTTTTTATTCTTTGGTGTCAAGTTAATTTTGGAAACTTTGGGATCTCTTTTCGGATTGACAAAAGTTTCTGTGGATTGGTTTAGTGGATTTGTTTAGCAGCATATAATTAGCGCCACATTGAGCCATTAGACTGGTGGGTTATTGGGATTAAAAAAAGTAGATGTAGATGAGAATATTAAAACAGGTAAAACAGTAATAGTGAAGAACTGTGTTACAGAATTTGCATGAAGATTACAGAGCAGTTCAAGAAAAGAAATATAATGAGAATGTGCACAAAGCAGGAAGAAAACTGAAACGTTTTGCCAAAATGGTAAACTTATATTCAGCTCTAGCTGGAGCATTAAGAGTACTTTTAGTCCAGGCATCAGTATTAAAATGTAGTTTTAGTGTATTTCTACTGTTAAGAGACCATTACACTTTATACTTTTTTTTTTTCCATTTAAACTACTCCCTTTGTTTGATCAACATAACCCACAACAGAGAGTATTAAAAGTCCTGGCATTGTTTTTCCATTCTGTGCTTAAAAAACAAAATAAATCAATTATGAAGATTAATTTATTTTCTTGCACATAACATTTCAGATCCATGGTAAATTTGTGCTCTACAGGAAGTTAGAAATAATACATGGAAGTGATAGAAGAAAGAGCAAGGAAAGGAAATGTATATAATTGTGATCTGTACCAAGACGTGCAGTTTTATGTGAAAGCTAATGTTCAGTTTTGCTGCTTGGAGAAAAGATAGTAAATCTAACTGAAAGACAAAAACAAAATATGCAATGACAGGAGATAAGAAGAAAGGAAATAAAACTAAAAATAAAAGTATTTCATATCAGTACACATACTTTCCAGATATGATAATGACGGGGATACTGACCGCAGCACATTATGGGACAAACGAACAGAGGCTCTATCTTCAATCTACTGAGATGGAATGAATAAAAGATGACCAATAACTGCCAAACTTCAGTCAGGCACTTGGATTAAAGTGACAGGAGACAGAGAAGAAAGAAAACGCTCACACACATACATCCAAATATTAGATTTAGATCCAAACAGTGCTAATATTTACTGCTGAGCTTCAGGTCTAAACAACTTTCAGAGTACATATCAGGCTTACACTGAAAGTTCAGCCATAAATTTAAAAGCCGTCTGTATCCAAGCTAAGAGACTGGGACCTAAAGCTGACAGAGATGACAGTGACATAAGTATTATTTCGTACTTCTCAGAGATGAAGCGTCTCTAGGGAGTGTGTTTTTATTGAATTTTGCTGAGGTATTTAGTGTTGCTGCCTGAATGTCTGTATTTTAGATATTCCCATCATTCCCATTCTGCCTCACTTCATCTGAAAGGGACTATAATGTAGGAAAATGAATAAGTCTGTATCCCGCCCTACTTTTGTGAGGCTTCCTCAGACTTTCCAAAAGTCCAAAAGAGCTGACAGGTTAAAAAAAGAACTTTTGTCCTGATAACTGCCTTTTGAGATCACATTGAGAGAACAACTGCTGCCACACAACCTTTTCACGGTACACTGGAAAAGCTCTTTCAACAAGGGTTTCCAAAATATCCTGTCTAGGGGCATCCGTCGGGCAAACAAAGCAGTTTGTTAGTCATGTCCCATGTGCGACTTCTCCTTCTGTGTACCCTCCAGAGAAAAGGAATACTCTGCTAAGAATGGGACACTGAGGTGGTCTGTATTTCCACTGGAGCCCTTCAGTGAGAACTTTTTGAACAAGCTCTGGTGAGAGATGACTTTGTTTGAATTCAACTCACCGAAAGACAGACCTCAAAACAGTGTGCAAGAACAATGGATCCTTAGTTGAGGAGGTATGAAAGCATGAAGGCATGGGTGGGGAGTTATGAACTGGGACATACCAAATCCTCCGTGCGCTGAGAGAGAAGAACAAGCGCACACACACTCGCCACAGAAGCCTCATTTACTGATCACATTGTATCACTTACAGAAACCCAGGGAGGCTAAATACACTCCATATCGCAGGTCATCTGAGGTCAGCTGCAGGTGCAGGCAGATTTTAGAAAACAAGACATTTATTACTACCTGGGTTTTCAGCAGCATCCTGGCCAAGACTCGGTGCCCTCACTTCCATCGCTAATGCTAAACATGCAAACATAGGTGCAACACAATGTTTTTATACTCCTGTCAAAATACCAGTGTGCTGCAGACTAAACAACAGGGGGATGCTACCCATGTGGTTTGAGAGATGAAGAGTGAACAGAATTGCTACAAGAAACTGTTAAGAAAAATGTTTTTACACAAGGCTTCATGAGAAAACTCTTGGAAAAACTCATTTTGCAGTTTTAACCAGGCAAATTCAACATGTCAGCTGTGGAAAATCGTCGGTTGGGCACATAGACTGTATATAGAGGATGGCTGCAGATCCAGAGACATAACATCATAGTTTGTGGATTTGCATTTTGATGCTTCAAATGGCCACTGTCATCTTGAGGCTTTGTAGCCAGAAGTGGCCGTATTTTGATGAGTGGGTTCAGTGCTAGCACCAAGAAAACTGCATCAATTGACTTCATGGGTGCACACAGAGCTAGGCAATAAAACAATAACATAATTATCATGCAAAGGTCTTAGCAATATAAACATAAGTTGTACAATGTTGCAGTATATTTATCATATTTAACTTCTGACAGGAAAAAAATTAACCTTATGTTTATATATCAAATTAGGTTTAAAGGGGAACCTTTAGGGTTAACAGAAATAGTGATTGGATTTATATTGGGATACATATCGATATCAGTTTACATGAGAAAAAGTATTTTTTATTTTTCGGAGGAAAGCAATATGGATTTTAATCCTCGTTTCTAATTTTCCATAAGGACTGATGAGGACGGCCACATTTTTACCAACCTCTTGGGGCTTTCTGCTCTACTTTTTTTGGTCTGAACTTGTTACGTGCTGTTCTACAGCTATTTTCAACCATAAACAGCCACGCAAGCACGTGTGCCAAGGTCTCTGCAAATAAAAGCACGAGTAGAGTAAGAAGGTGAGTGGCACAAAAACAAACCTTGATGAGGTCCGTTAACTGAAAGCATAATTTCAGCAGAGCTGCACTTCCCCACCACATAACTGGAAGTAAACTGAAACCAGGACTACCGTGGGTGGTCAGAAAGGCCTAAAAACCAAGTGGCAAAACAAATATACATGTATGTTCGGCTCTTTCTCTGCGTGACTGAATGTTTACAAACTCATTGTGAAGAACTGGCTTAAACCGATCTTCATAAGAATAAACTCTCTGTTTCAAATATATTCCCTCTTGGAATGACATTTTCCAATTGTCTGCAAGATTCTCCCTGATTCAAGACACATCAACCCAAACACAACGCTGCTGGTCTTTTTAATCTATGAAATCAAAGCTGAGTAAACACCGCTTTGGTATGTCTAATTCCTTGAGCCAAACTCCAGCGGTCAAGTTTCACACATACCAACACACATCTGGAGCACTCAGCGTGGAAGATCAAGCTTGATATTCTGCACATGTCAAGGCAGCGAATGGCTCGACCCTAACTCTACAAATACATTACTAAGAGGGGAGTGATCCCAGGCTTCTGTCTTTATGGAGATGTCAGGATTCAACTGAGGGAGCCAAGTGCTCTCATCCACTTTTCCAGAAGGATCTTAAAGTAAAAACGACATAATTGTCAGAAGAAAGACAACTACTTAGACAACAACAGGGGAAGAATTATGTGAAGGGGCAGGGTGGATACTGAACTTTTACTCTCTGAATCCACTGAAAGACCTGCCAAATGTGTCTCAGAAACATTTTGGTAACAATAAACAGATTTGTGTAATGCCACGTCATTTCTTATCTGTGTTGTTTTCTGCACTGTTTGGATTAAGTTATATGATGTTACTTAGTGTTTATTATTTTAACTCACAATTTATCTCTTATTTTCAACTGGACTAAAATATCAGAGGAGACTACTGCATGCAATCGTAGGTTATAATTGAATACATTTAACGTTCCAACAGAAAAATTAACACCAGACACCAGTCACATCTAACAGAAAGGTTAGCAGTGAGCGGAGACAGCAACCATCCTTGATTTCTCTTGACCCTAACAGCAGGTAAACACAGAGATGTCACGAAAAGAGCTTCACTTGTTTGTTTCTAATGTCTGGTGATCCACTTGCTTCTTCTTTTTTTAAACATCAGCTATAGTTGCCATCCAGTTATTTCAGTAGGACTACTATTAGGCTGGTATTTGTACTAAAAAGTACCAGTAAGAACCAAAGTAGTTATAATAAAATTTGGTATATATTGTGATTTACTGATCTCTTAACTTTTCATCAAGTCACATTAGTCCTGGGTAGTATTATGGCATCTAGCATAGCAGGATTTTTAGAAAACAATTTTATCTTTAAAACCTTAAAGAAAAAAAAAAAACCTAGACACTGTTACTAATGGGCGAAGGTAGGAACGTTTGTGTAGTAAAACAACCCTGCACATTCCTGGCTACATTTACTTCATTTTTTGACAAGCATAAATACCCTTGTTTACATCGATCATCAATCATAATAGTTCCTAAACGCTTTGGCTTGATACCAGAGCCACTGCCGCCCCTCAGATTTATCTGCTGACCGCAGCTCTTTAAAAAATCATTTAAGAACTCAAAGATTTTGTAATATGTGGTTAGTAGAGATATCCAGTTCACTGAACTTGTTTCCTCTTATCCAATGCTCTGCATCGCCATGAAAAACCATTCTTTTATTCGGCACAGAATAACTGTTGGATTTAGGATGTGAAATAGTCAGGAGTTAGCTGAAAACACAGAGACAGCAGCCTTCTCTAATCTCCCCCCGACTTCAGCAGGAGTACAACTCCACGGGCGTCACAGCAAGATTTTCACTTGGTCGTGTACGGTTTCACCTGTCTGCCTTTCAGACCTAGATCTGAACAGGTAGAGGAGAATAGGCCTATAGAGTCCTCTTCTTTTCCTCTTCCCTCCCCTCCCTCTTCTCCTTTCTCTCCCTCTCTTTTCTTCCTGGCCGGCTAATCTCTTCTCAGGTTTAGGGTTCCCGGTTCGGGCTCTTTGAGGAGGAGGAAATATGGGGTTGGGTAAACATCAGGGCTCTCACTGCAGGGATTACAACACCCATATATCACTGAGACAACTCCCTTTTCAACAAATGACAAGTCACCAGGACCCTGTGCGAGAAAGGATCCAATGACACTTCCTATCAACACAGCAGACACCGATAGCATATACCGTCACCGTTTTCACAACATCGTGTTAGTTTATGAGGATCCGGTGTCTTCGCATTCTCAGCCAACGTCTTCAGATCGGTTTGAGGTTTTCACACATTGTTGCACCTGATGTTTGGCTTGTGGGCATCTTCAAAGAGGCAACAGCACAAACGGAAAAGAGCTCTAGAGAAGCTCTTTGATCCTTTCAGAGAGAGTGCCGTTCATTGCCCAAAGACTCCATTTCACTCTCTCCTGTTGACAAAGCGAAGTACCATGCATGGCAACGTGCTGCTGGATGCATTGTGCTTCAGCGGCTGGGTGTTATAAAGTAAAACCACAATCGGGCCTCATTTAAGAAAAACACACTTTTTATCCAAAAAGACATCACCGAAGGTCAATGAGGTGGATCAGTTTTCCAACCTCACTGGGACGAGCACAATTCCATGTGCTCATGCATTTTAGCTGTCAAAAGGTTAAAATTCAATTAGCCAAACAGCTTTTCTTTTCCAAAGCAGCGGGTGCGTCCAATAATTCCTCAGTGCGATGCATAATGAGAAGTGAGGGACACTTAAATGCACTCCCCAGTTGTGCTTTTCACTTGTGTGCAGTTGACAACGAGCAGTCATGTCAGAGTAAAGGATGAAATCATTTAGGGAGGAACAAAAGGCACCCAAAATTTATGGACGATTAACAATGATGCGTGTAAAAAATTGGAAAATAGACACTGTGGTGATGCTACACATGTTTTTACTATTGATGGCAAATTGAGAATAAAGCTACAACATCTTAAATTTATAAAGCGTTGTTACGTTTTTTGTAAAGTGTTTATATAAATATTTTCACTGGAATGTGGCTCTAATATTCACATTTCTCACAGAACAGTATTCTGGTCAGCAGTATACAGCACCACGTTACTTTGTAGTAACATCCTAAAGGTTAAACTCCACTGAAGAGAAATTATAACTAAACACATTCTCATAATGTACCTGTTCAGTTTTTCTATAATGAATCCTTGATATTTTCATTATTATTTTTAATTTTCAATACCAGCATTAGTGTTTTAACACTATGTCCTTACAGATTGTTTACTTTAAAGGATTTTTTTGATACTAATTGCAGTGTTAGCCTGGCTAATTATCAAGTAAGTAAAACTCAAATTTTTGCATAGAATAAAGAAACGTGTTGACCTATGAACTTAGACTTTGCACTTTGAGCTTTAGAGTTTAGTCATATTTCTACTATTAGGTAAGCTAAGCTAACCTACTCCTGGCTGTAGTTTTAGACTGAACACACCCCTTGTGCTGATCTTCTTTCAGTAAGACAACAAGGAGGCAAAATTAAAATGAAGTAAATTAGTGGTTTTTAGACACCAAAATGAGTCCAAACCTTAAAACAACAGGTCAGCAAAAAAGCATCAGCAGTTTTGTAGTTTTTTCCCCTCCGTGTATATATGATTTTTTTTTACACAATAATTTATTCTGGTTGATTTGCTGTCCCCTAGAGCAGCTATCCATCTTCTCCAGGAACACCTCAGTGCTGATAACACAGGAGTATAATCCTTCATCATTACTGTTACACACATTAACAGTAGTCATAGTTCAAATTGTGACAGATTGTGTATCTGATTTGTACAACATGACCTCATAATACTGCACAGGAAAGCACCAATTGTGAAATTTTGGGTTGAAATCAATACGGATGTGTAAAAATAACAATTTGGACAGTGGCTGAAGAAATACTAATTTTGTTCATCTTAAAGATAATAAAGGACGAGACAAGTCTTTTGGGTCCTTATGTGATTTACTTTGGACATTTAATCAGCACATCAGCCCTACTTGCAATAAGCTGATTATTGGTTACTGGCAATAGTTTAACAAGCAAGATAACCTCCATCCAATCTTAGGATCCAGGACAGCCAGGCATTCTCTTAGCGAGATAGAATTTAGACCACTGAGTTGTTTTGTACAGAATGGAGGGAACTCTTTAGAAATTGCATGGTAGTGGTGAAATTTCTACACATACACAGAGTCATAAAAAGCAAAAAATGCACACTAACTATGTTTAATAATAGAGAGCAAGCTATCAAGTGTCACAGGGAAGATATATGTATAAAGCTGTAGACAGAGGCATAACTAAATGTTTGCAGTCTGCACTGGCTTCCCTTACAAAGACATTCTGAGAAATCCAAACAGGAAAACTTGACCTTTCTTTGCAAGGAACAGAAAATGCAATCCAGACCATGTTGTCATGGGGAAAACACAACATGTTCGTCTTCATGCGACCAAACTGTAGACATCATAATTCTCTGGATGACAAAATTCTGAAAATCATGGCAAAGATACTAACAATAGTTACATGTTCACTCATGTGAATTCATGCCACCCCAGCTTCTTTTTTAATGGCTCTGTTTATTTAAAGACTAATAATCCACGTGGAGCTAATGAATCTTTCACTAATATTAAAATCAAATTAACGGCAATGTTAATAGTGGTGTCTGCTTTCAGATATTTTTTATTCAAGTCAAAGACATGCAGCAAACTTAGGTATAAAAGCAATATTCATATAAGGTGTACGGCTGATGGAGCGTGTGTTGGCAGGCATCGCCGCAAGTATGAATAAGGACATCTGGGAAGAATTATCCTCATTATGACAAAAAACTATCAGTGATTTATAGGAGGTTGTATTCTGTTGTTCCACTATCTCATAACGATAAGAACTTTATCATGGCAAAACGCGCATTATCTCTGTCACTCCCTTTCCCTTTCCTCTTTTCTCTCTAAGGAGTTAAACAGGATGACTAATTAACAACTTTACTCTTCGCAATTCTCAGGAAAACCATGATATCCAACATCCGATAGTAGAATCAATCTCACATGTGGGGCAGCGACATTTTGCATGCCTCACTACCGAGAAAACAAAACATCTCTTTTTAATTAAACAACAGTGCGGTGTCAAGACCTGATGCGACATACCATCTTACTGACCACGAACAAAACCAGCTCACCCATCACGTTTTTCTTCTTCTTCTTTTTCCTCTCACCACTGTGAACAAACCCGACATGCTCAAACATCCTCTTGCCTGAGGCAAAGAGGTTTTTACCATTTATTTGTGAAGTGATGCAGCTGCCAAGAAACCTCATTTGTCAGGAACATGAATCACAACGAATGTCATATTTAAGGCCAATAACGCCATGAATATTCATTTATATTGTCTTAGGTTTGCTTTATACATCTGGCCCAAAAACAGTGATTTGATTTGATGGCTTTAGTAGCATGAATCTTGATATTTCTCACTGTGGGGGAAGAATAATTTCTTCTTATATAATCCTGCAATAAGTAAGAAGTCAGATATGGATTTCAGGTCAAGTCTGTCAGCCACATCCATCCTAATGACTCCAGTACACATTTGGAGGGCCTTACATAGGATCCCCACATCAGGTTAACTCTTGTGACTTGGCCTACATGTACTTCATTCGAACTGCACAGTGCTTTGGACCTAAAGCACCTCTGCATATTTTTCATCCCTGTCATTCAGTTCAAAAAACAACTCATATAACAGAGGATTTAAAGTTTCTATCCATCCTCTTAGTCGCACTACTGGGCACATTTATTCCAATGCAAATGAGGATGTGTGTGCATCCTAAAATGTACAGATGGCTGATATAAGACAGCAACATTACCTGAAAGACAAAAAGTCAGACAAGACATTGGAACTACACAGTTAAAAATTACTTTTCCACTGCTTTAAATTTGGCCTTTCTTAGTTGTGCATTTCTCAATAACTCTTAAGTTCACTTTAAAAAGAAATAAAAGGAAGGAATGGAGAAGATGGAGAAAAGACAACACTCTTACCTCTGACTGTTTAAGCTGGATGCCATAGATGAGAATATTTCTGTGCTTGGCTGTTGAGGCCAACTCCATGATTGCCGTGGGCGCTCTCTCGCTGACAGGGAGCTCATCAGTCCTGCTGAAGTGCACCTATCAAAACAAAGACCACCGCACCCAATCAGAAAACAACTGCCAATAAAGAATAGCAATTACGCCCCATTTTGGAGCAATTACAGGACATTGTTCAAGCAGTAGTTTAAACATGTTGCAGCTCAATAGGCTTATTTGTTTAGAGCTATGTTTGGGGAAGTTCAGGGAAGCATGAGCGTCTGCTTAGAGTAAACAGAGGTTGGTTGATACACAATCCTGTCTGAGGATATAATGACTCTAATTGAGTTGTAAATCTTATGGACCTCTGGGGTTTATTTTCCTCAATTAGGGTAGCATAATCCAGATACAATGGTTCAGGTTACTGTATCATCTCTATGAGCAGCTAAACTTTAGTCGATTTCCATAACCATACTGCTGACAGCAACTTAAATGGAGATTTATTCCTTTCAATTATTCTGTCACATATCGTAAAAAACTGCGGCAGTGAGATGCAATAGTCAGGAGAATAGTTTCAAAAATGTCAAGACATCTGCTTTAAACGTACAATTATTGCACTCTCCTTGAATATCAATCAAATGTTGGTTGTCATCAGCTGAAGTTCCAACTTGAAAACTGATTATTCAGCACATTCGCAGGGGTAGGACACCAAATTGTCTTATTCGGGCCAAGAATCCTCAACGGTGAGCGAGCTCATGAAGAATGAGAGTACAGAAGTATTTGTCCTTATTAGACTGGATTTTACCAGAAATTAAAAAAAACTTGAACATAGACACTATTGTTATTGGGCACCTTCCATAATGACTTAGAGGGGATGCTAAGCTGATGTAAAATATACTTGAAGAGCCCCCAACAACCTGACAATCAATCAAGTACAAGCTGCTTGAGTGATAATTATACAATAATAATATTATTGATATTAATGGTAATAAACTTCAGGCAAATGTTTATCATAGATTGGTGATTTCTTATAGCGTAAACTCAACAGCAACATTTTTTTCTTTGAAATGTCTTGCTCAAGGCCATAACATCTTAGACTAAGTAAAACAAAGTGACCTCCATTATCCGGTCTCCTTTACTCCCCTTGAGGCTACCACCATCACATGGATAACACCAACACTTGAAACTCTATGATCCCTCAGTGATCACTACCATGTGATCAAGCCTGGGATAAATAACGGGGTGCATATGCAATCTAATAATAGCCCCAGGCAACCCCCCCCCCCAAAAAAAAAACCCAGACACTCTGGTGCAGGACCAAATCGCTTAGGAGGACTGCCTCATGTTTTGCCGTATTCTCAACTTTCCAGGCTGAATTTATGCACATTTGAATGTTGACGAAATTAGGTTAGGCATAGATGGGGGGAAAAAATGACAGATGTGATTTACTTTAATAGAATACGCTTTAATTCTCCCTCTTGGTTTCCCCCTGCAAATTTCTAAAGACATTTTTTATATTCCAATCAATGAATCAATCCTTTAAATAGCAATTTGGTAACAAAAAATAATCTGAAATCCAGCGTGGTTTTATAATTCACAGTCTCACTGTAGATCAGAGCATCACTGCATGTTGCATAAGGAAGTACTAGGTCTATATAGACTGATAGAATACGATTAGAGGAGCAATCAAATTCTAATAACTTCTATCTTCTTCATGTAATATGAAAAGGACACCACTCATTAATACAGCAGCATAGAAGACAACAACAAAAGAAAAAAAAAGTGACAACAGAAATATGCAGCAACCAGGCTCCTTTAAGCTGCCAACAGAACTCTGATCTACTGAACCACAAACTCTGGTGTTCGGAGCCCAGTCAGCAACTTGGGCTGTTG